GAATACATCTTGTTTACAGTTATTTTTCTAATATTATATTATAACTTCCTTTATGTCCTACAGCCTCACATCTGCATTGCGTCCGGTTCTCCGCCAGCATTTCCATCCCACTCCACGTTTGCTCAAATGATTTCATCTCGTCATCGCAACACTCCATGTCATCCCCACACAGAAGACCAAATGATCCGCTGCTTCACAATCGGATTACACTCGAGCAATGACTTGGCGTGTGATGTCACTCACTTGATGGTGGTTTGTTTTCTCAGAGTATGGCCTACAATCCACCTACCTCCATTTCTTCCTGCATATTTGTTGCACAATTGGTTCTTGCTGGGTTGGTTCGTTGGTTCATTGACAGAGATCCCTCCCTGTTGCTGATATTTTCTGACCAGTCATCTGATCTTAAGTATTATTGAGCGAAGGCAGAGTTTGATGAAGGGGTGTAGCTTGTTCGAAGTGGCCTTCGTGACGCGTCGTGGCGCCAAGTCTCTGATCCGTTTAGTAAGTAGCACTGACTTCACATTGAAGCTGAAAATCCACATCTTATTTTCATTTTCATGCTGAGTAGTGCTGCTGATCTCCACACAGTCTTGGGCGTTACGAAAGATTACCTTACTTTCCATTTCCTATCTTTCATATCCTCACCAGTTCCGTCTACCTGTAGTTGAATCGACGCTTCCCAGGTAGGTCGGCAGGTAGAAAAGTTTGCTTTTTTCAGATTTCTCCCATTTATGCTGATTGTTGTCTGTTGTTGTTGGTGGTGTTTCTTTTGGCAAGCAGGAATCTTCATCATCACCTCTGTTCTCTCTATGTCCACCTGAAGTCCTATCTTCTCTGGATGCTTCTTCTTTCAACTTGTTTCTTTTTACTTGCATATCTTCCCGTTTGTGGCAAATTCCAGATCCTCCAATTTTTTTAGTGTGGATCAATTTTATGCCTGTCTCCTGGCCTGTCGTATTATCCAGTCTACCGCAATGAGGAAATTAATCATTGCGAACATTAGGCAGCCAGACCTGTCTTAATATCGTCTTCATATTAAAGGATTACCTGAATTTCCCGTTGTAGATTACTTGGCAAGCAGTCTTATCGTACAACTGCTGGATGAGGCGTATAATTGTCCGCGACATCCCATACCAGCAAAGTAGTTTCCAAATCACCTCTCGATCAACTCTGTCTGTCGAAGGCATTTTCATAGTCCATAAAGCTGAGATAGAGAGATGACTGCCACTCCAATATCTGTTCAATGATGATCCGTAGTGCTGTCATTTGATCGACGCACATTGATATTTGTTAAAAAAGAAAGTGAAGTTGTAGTCACATTCGAAGCTTATCTGAAGATCAATTAAGTGATCATTGATGGCTTGTATCTGTGAAACTAATTTTCAGACACAATACACTGCTGAAAAGCTGCAGCTAATTAACGATAGTAAGAGTTACATGAACCAAATCCACCCATTAAATCACTTTTTTAATAGAGAAGTATTCACTGACAGTATTGGATAGAAATTGCACCACTGGAACGAATTTAGAGAAGGTGTATGACGTCCTTCATCAAATTTCCACTGCCAATTGAGAAGTGGTCTGGCTATGTCATGTATTAGCAGATGTTAGGATTCATCGGCTGGCTGACCATTGGATCGCATCCCAGTGGCTTAACGGTCTACGAGTTCACTGGCCTTGTAACCAGAAGGTCCTGGATTTGAACTCCGTCAGTGAGTGTGTACTTCTAAAGATTCCCAAACTGACTAGGCTGACGAAACAGCTATCCAGTAAGTACTCCTTGGTGGTTTTTCCTCTGATTCTCTAACTGATTTCAGCTCCTGACCAATCCTGTAACCAATCAAATCCCTCCCTACAAATCCACACTTGGTTATTTCACTTGATTACCAATTTATATATTCCAAGCTACGTAGAAATTTCCTAACTGAATATAGTTTCTCGAAAAACATATGTAAATGTACGACTGTACAGTTGGTGATAAATTTGTCCAAAAGTCTCCTCGTTGAATATTGTTCTGTTCTTAAATAACTGTTAGATATATTTTTGAAACAGTTAGTTCCTTTTTATGAAGACGTAATTCACCTGAATAGTGTTATGTTTCTGCGTCACTGATTCGCTCCCGCCAAATGCAAGATGATGCTACAGGACTGGACTACACTGACTCCTAGTTTAGAAATAAGGAGTGAAGTGGTTGGTGGAGCGCGTTGACCGCTTCACGTATTTGGGAAGTACCAACAGCCAGTGCCAACGGGTTGATCTCTGACGAAATCTCAGTATGGATACAGTGGGCTAGTTTCGCATATACCAGTTTACGCCATCTCTGGCTTAGTAGACGTGATATCCGACTATCGACCAAAGGGCGGGTGTATTGCTCATCAGTCCACACCATCCTCCTTTATGGCTATGAGACCTGACCATTGAGAGTGGAAGACATGGAAATGGTAGCTAGCTGTCTGTGATCATAGGTGTCTGCGTTCTATCCTCCGTGTGAAGTGGTATAATATGGTTAGCAATAGTAAGGTGAGGCATCGAGTACTAGGTAGGGAAATGAATCGACGAGGCTGTGGAGTTACAAAGACTAAGATGGTTAGGACATATGTTACGTATGCTTCATCTAGTCATCGCCTTCATCGACTGACAGCCAATATTAGCTGACATAGGGTCAGACTGGAAAAGAGCTAGAGGCGGTCAAACCAAAACATGGCACCAGTCAATGAAATCTACAACAGTTAGCTTAAGCCAGTGACGTAGGGAAGTGTAGACTTCCTAGTTGGGGTCCTCGGGACGGTAAAAAACAGTGAAGGCTGGAGACAATTGGTCATATGGCTCAAAATCGTTCCTAATGGTGCAGATGCATCCACTCCTTATGACTTATAATTTCCATTGAAACTATATTGTTCTTCATTATTGCTATTCCTTTTATTTCATATCCATGTCTACTGTCTCTACTTCGCCTCTATTTCTTCTACTTTCTTCTCTTGCTTTGTGTGCTACATGAAGGGATTGTGGCGGCTTGAACTGCTACACATTGGTGCAAAGTTCTATGTTGTAAATAGAGAGACAGACAGCGTCAAACACTTCGAACAATCTTATCAGACATGTACTTATATGAAGCGCTAAGAAGTGAAAGAATAGTGACATAGTTCGATTTGAAAGGCTATAGTTGAAGACAAAATAAAATTAACAATGGAAATCAATAAACCAAAGAAAGGAGGTAATAGTACATCTGTCCCGTCATCGAATCCAAGTTTACCAAGAAAGGTTTATTATAATAAGGCATTGTTTCTGTGAACACATAAAGAAGGCTTAAACTCTCTAATTGTCATAACTTTAGGATACGCCCTAAACACGCTTTATAGATAGATAGGTTTAAAAGACGGTAAACATCAATTTTGTGTCCTGTCTATGTAACATATTCCGCAATAGAACTGCCAGGTTGCATGTTGTCAACATCACTGTGTTCTAGGGATTTCACATGCTTATTTTATAATTAAACTAGTGGAACATATTAGGGCTTAAAAACAAAAAGAAATACTGTGTTTTCATTTCCTACATGAAAACTAATCGGATCAGAGCAAATTCAACAAATGAAGGCCAGTTCAATGATCATTTGTAGCTTGTATCACTGAAATTGATTTTGAGATACACTAAACTACTAAAACGCTGTGGCTAGTTACCTATAATCACAGTTAGAAAACAGTAATCCACTCAGTAAATCGCTTTTCTAAAGGAGGAGTATTCACTGACAATACTGGATAGAAATTGTAGCATTGGAACAAAGTTAAGAAGGTGTATAGCGTTCTTTACCAGATTTCCACTAATACACTTGGGAGGTAACCCCTCCACCATCCACACACCTCATGAATTGAAGAGCTTAGTTTTATTACTGCAAATTTAACAAATGAAGATCATGAATTTCTAGAAGTTAGAATTCCTAGACTGGTCATTGGATTGGATCCCAGCTGCTTTATAGTCTACGAGCTCTGGCCTTGTAACTAGAAGTTCCTGAGTTCTAACTCCCTGTAGTGGTTGATTACTGCTGAAGAGTCCGAAACTAGGCTGTCGAAACAGCCGTCCAGCACTCCCAGGTTTTCCAATGGTTCTCTAACTGATGTCAGCTCATGGTAAAATTTTCCAACAAATGGAGATCAGTTCGATAACCATTCGTGGTTTGTATAATTCACATTTGAATCTTAGATAAACCAAACTATCGGAAAGTTATGACTGCTTTGCTTTAATCAGGGTTAAATGGGTGCGTGTCTCAGAAAATGGAGTTACAGACTTTGTCATTTAGTTCCATATATTTCATTGATTAGCCTTCAAGTGATTTCAAATTTATCATATTTCACGGAGCATTCCATTTGATCGAAGGTTGTGACTGGACACAACCATTCAAAACACTCTAATGACAACCGAAACTTAACAGAGACTTTCTTTATGACAGGAATCGAATCCGGTACAGTTGATATTTCGTTGAGAAGACCAGTGGATAAGACCCAACTGAATGAACAGTAGGACTGCAGTATCAGTTCAATCCTGATGATAGTAGATATATAGGTGAACACTAAGCATTTGAATCCAATGACCAGATTAATACGGAGGTGGCTTGGCTCTTACTCTTCATGACTCTTTATTATGTCATTTTATTTCAAGCTTCAGCTTTAGAGTTTCAGTAACGGTAGTGTTATATTTAGGTGTGTATGGTGTGTGTGTGTGTGTGACTGCCAGCTTCACGCGGAACCTTCCTTACTAATCAGGCTCACCATCGTCTAAGTGTGATGTAGGAGTCCGTGGATTGGCTATCGAACCGCCGGACCACGTGTATAATTGATGGGGATTCTACGTCCAAATCACTGGTGCATGTGCTTACCGTCTTATTTTATGCTGCAGCCATCTATAAGCTTTGTAGAATGCAAGAGATTCACGTTGAAACTTATGAAATTGAAAATTAAAACAGTCTGTCAAAGGCGTAAGAAAGTTTAATTCCAAAGAACAACCAGTGGGAATCATTTTCAACGTTTATTTCTCTGTTCAATACTTTCAATGACAGAAAAATATATATATATATGTATCATATAATATAATATTGAAATAAATGAAAAGAACTTCATGATTGTCGTTTGCATGGAGAATAAACACACTACCACAAAATAATCCAGGGCGAAAGTCATTTCTTCTTAGAAAGAATTAAAAATACAATCGGTATGAAAAATATACCTGTTGACAATAATAAAGTGACAATATTATCAACCAGAGTAGAAGTCTCCAAGAAAGCATACTGTAACAGACTGATTATTCCAGCCAGGGCATTAGATATTCCATTCAGTGTACCAAAATAACGTATTGGAAAGGCAGATAGAAGGAAACTAATAAATGTACTGAATAACAGTGATCTAACAACAACTACAAATATGAATGCAGCATAACAGGCTACAGAGTGTGGTATAAACATCATGATACTCAAGAGGACAGCAAAGACAGCCATCAGGCTGAACGCTGGAATTAATCCACCCAACAGAGTATAATAGATTTTATTCGGATAGTATAAATCTTTTTTAAGAATTAACATCTCTCAATTTTTTGTCGAGCTCTACGAAGAAAATAATCAATGATAGTACCAGTGATTGGTGCTACAAGAAATCCACACAGAAAGAATGCTGAAGATACAGTTAGCAGATGCACCTTAAGCGTTGGATCAGTGATAAACATAGCGGTAATATGCTTGACAAAATGAGTTAAATAAAATGAGAAACGAAATAAACCTAGAGTAAACCAAATATTGATTAACAGGTAGGGTAGTGAGAAGACACAACTTTTCAGGGATGGAAAACGTTCATCCAGTAATACGGATATTTCATTGTAGATATCTAATTTTGGTACATCGCCGCCGGTCAATGAATTCTGTATGTATGCGGGGGGGGGGGGGGAAGAGATAAATAACGGTGGATAATCAATGTACAAAAATCCAGATTATTAAATTTATTGGAAATTAGGATTAGTTTCATGAACCACAACAACAGTTAGAGAGGTCATTAAAAACTAAGAAATCATTAATATATGTTTCGTCTTACTTTGGGGTTCTTCATCAGCGTTCATCCATGACACTAACAATTCACCTTGACAAAGTTGACCCCACTGGTCACTATTTCTGATTACAGCTCTAGAGCCATCAGTGAGTTGGCGATTTAAAATTCAGATCATGGGATTTGCGTTGCCGGTGACATATGTTTGATATCCCACAAACTGGAAACTATGCAAGTGAAAAGCAACAAGTTGGCACAAGAAGCATCGAAGATACGAATTTTGCTGAACCCAGAGAACACAGAGGTGATGGTGAAGATTCCTGACCAACACCAACAACCACAACAACAGTAGACAACAATCAGCAAACAAATGAGAGGAATTTGAAAGAAGCAACCTCCTTCAACTACCGACTTATCTGGGAGGCATCGTTTTAACTACAGATGGACGGAACTGATGAGGAATTCAAGGCGAGGAACAGGAAAGCAAAGGGAGCTTTCATTACTCTCAATTCTGAAAATGAAAATAAGATCCGAATTTTCAACTCCATTGTGAAATCAGTGCTCCTTTACGGATCAGAGACTTGGCGCCACGTCACGAAGGCCACTTCAAACAAGTCACACAACTTCATCAACAGGTGTTTTCGCTCAATACTATTCAAAATCAGATGGCCGGCCAGAGAAGATCAGCAATGGAGATCTCTTGGAGCGAACCAACCCAGCAGAAACCAAATGTGCAACAAATCTGCAGGAAGAAATGGAGTTTGGGGTGGATTGGCCATACTCTGAGTAAACAAACCATCAAGTGAGTGACATCACACTCCGCACCATTGCTCGAGTGGAACACGAATGGGTTATCAGTGCGAAGGTGATATGGAGTAGGAGGAGGTGGTTCGAAGAGGAGATGAAGGCATGTCAGCGGACCTGGAGCGGTGTGGAAACGTTGCCGGAGAACCGAATGCAATGCAGATATGAGACTGAAGCCCTACGTTCCTTTAGGAACTGAAGGTACCAATAATAATATAATCATAATATATGGAAATTGCTGGGATGTGGATTAATTTTAGTTGTCAAATTTTATAACAAACCAACATCCTTTAAAGATGACGGTCCACGACGATATCTATCCAATGAAATACACAAGAGTTAAATATGTTCATCTAGGAACGAGGACATTTTTTGAATAACTTTTCACAATAAAGCAGGAGATTGCAAATTCTAAGTTTCGATGTATGTTGATCTATGTCCAGTGTGGAAGGGGCATAAATTAGTTCCTTCAAAGTTGCAGATATGCCCTACCGACTGGTGCCAACTAGCACGAAATCTAGGTCCAAGGCTTCCTCTGGCTGATCACCTCCAACCATATAACATCAGTAAACTTATCAGTTGTCCTATAAATAGGTAGAGAGATAATCAATGGATAATAACCTTTCTCACGCCTGTGTCAGTAAGTCCCACGTCATTGTGTTCTCGCTTAATTCCATGTGGTTGGTGTAGATAAACAATATTTTGTATCACTATGTCTGTCGCCAGCGCAGCGTTTCTATTTAACCCAACGTTTTTGTGAAACATTAAAAGGATGTCTTCTGGTGTTCGGTTGAAATTACTGCATTGGACGACGATTTATTTCCTTGACTTCGTCATGGAATATCCATAAGAAAGAGGAGAACACAAAATTCAGCGAATATATCTACCTGTTTGGCGATTTCATTTTCAAAAGCACCTATACAATCGCATTGAAATACATAATTTCACATGGATACAAATTCTTGCTCAATTCCACATAATTACGACAGCGACGGAATAAAAGGTGATAATTATTTTCAACTAGATAGATGGTTTACGAGAGGCTTAGAAACAAAAAATTACACAGGATTCGAACGGATAACAAGTGTGTAAAAACGAGCATGGAAACAAAAATGAAGAATAATTTTCAACTTGAGATGGGAGTTACGGGGTGCGAATATAGATTAGAAACACAAAAATTGCACAGAACTAAGATAAAATTGTATGCTCGTCCTTTCAAAATGTGTTAGATCACATTACCCAGCGTGGTTACAATGAGGAGGCACCTGTTCAATCAGAAGTGCCATTATTTAACATCTGATCAACAGCTCCCCACAAAAAACCTCAACTGATTCATTCAAAGTAATTTACAAAGTCAACAGAATCCTACCAAAAGCAGTATGTTTCTGACTTCTCTGTACTGCAGAAGCCCTCCCAGTATGTATGCATTGAGAATCTGGAGTTTTGGGCTCAAAAGAAATTAGTCCAACCTCTACAACTACCATAGACCTAGTTCGGTATGTTCCCTTAGTTTCCGCTTGTTTTTCCTCTTCTTTCGTTCTCTTTTTCCTCTTTGATCTTTTTTCAGTCGCTGTGTGTGTGTCTGATTCTCGCTCCCTCTGTCTTAATTCGATTCATCCCGCTTTTTCAGTTATAAAAACAGTTATTTTAAGTTTGTTTCCATGCTTTTCCCTGTTCACATTCTTATAATTCGTCCAAAATAACTATTTTACAACTATATCTTCATCCTATGCAATTTCTGTGTTTCTAAGGCTCTTTTAATCTATATTCCCACCCCGTAACTCCCATCTCAAGTTGAAAATTATCTCTTCATTTTTGTTTCCATGCTCCGTTTTACACACTTGTTATCCGTTCGAATCCTGTGTAATTTTTTGTTTCTAAGCCTCTCGTAAACCATCTATCTAGTTGAAAATAATTATCACCTTTTATTCCGTCGCTGTCGTAATTATGTGGAATTGAGCAAGAATTTGTATCCATGTGAAATTATGTATTTCAATGCGATTGTATAGGTGCTTTTGAAAATGAAATCGCCAAACAGGTAGATATATTCGCTGAATTTTGTGTTCTCTTCTTTGTAATGTCCATATGGAATATTCACTTTCGTATCTTACTTTCAAAGGACTAATTGCACATTTCGCTCAACTAAATGATCGTAGAATATTGACATGAAGTGACTAAAACAAGAGATATAGACATGTAGATGTCACGTAAAGTGAGCCAAGAAACAGGCGTAACTTTCACTCTCTCAGTATACCTCATCCATAAGGTACACAGTTTTCCATCTCATTACATCGTCAACTTTTACCACTGCTCTTTTGTATGTAATTAATTTTAAACGTGCGTGTGTGTTGCGTAAATGCATACTTTTAGGTACACTATGATCACTTACCTCAGAGAAGTCGACCTCTTCTTTTTTACTGGAAGCAGCATACTTCCCCATATCTCTTGAATACCTTGTAAGAATGAAGAGTGCCACAAAAATTCCAACAAACACTGCGAAGATAGCCAATATTATAAATGACCATTTAAACGGGAATGATTTATATGTCAATGATATGATAAAGGCGATCACAGTACTTGAATCATACGCTCCAGAAATCAATGATATACACAATCCACGTATATGTGGAAACATCGAACTAACTTGATGATTACATATCAGACTGCATATACTCGCTAAAGCCACTGATATCCCAGCAGCATAGAATAGAGGCACAGTCGAAGCACTGGTGAATGCAAACATTAGCGTACCAGCAGAAAATAGTATGGTTGCCAGTATTTTTGTTATTCTTAATCCTACCATATCCAAGAGGACGCCAGCCAGTACAATAAGACACATTTGTGATACCATCCAGACAATGAAGACAACACCGAACATATTTTCATGATATAAACATCCATCCTGTGTACAATTGTATGCATACAAACCAACTGATTTGTAAACTTCAACCAAGGAATTGAAACCATAGTGATAACCACCGAATAGGAATACATCAACAATTGCAATGAAAATACCAAGCCAACGTCGAACTTTCGCTGGGCAGCAATCATCTATGCTCTGACCTGAAATTAAATTACAAAAAAAATGTGTTTAAGAATTGTATCATTACAAACGTGGGATATTCGAGGGACAATAAACGCTCAAAGTAGACAGTGGTCAGTGAATGAAAAGCAGAATAGAAAAAAATCACTCTGTTGTCCAAATAGAATTACCAAGTTATTGACTGTTTCTTTTCTGATCACCTCTAACTTCCTTCTGACAGTGGTCTTTATCAGTTCCTCAAGAAATTCAGTGACTACGCTAGGGTATACCATATCTTACCTTCCACTGGACATTAGGTGGGAACTAATGTCATAAGTGTACCCTTTTTTTGTGTCGGTACAGACTGAATTCTTTCAGTCAAGCTTCCAGTGAAGCTGGCAGTCACAGTTCACTTTGAATTGTTGATTAGAGGTGATTGGTGGAAGCTTCAAACTAAGGTTTCATTTTTAAATTTCACAGTGGACATGAGTTCCTACAAGATTTTAGATACACCGCGCTAAACATTGTCAACAAGCATGAAACTTAAACTCAAGGCTTCCGGCGGATTATCTCCAATCATCTAACAACAGGTAGGAGAGCACTGTGATAACGAGCCATCTATTACTGTGGTTACATTGCGAAATTGACTTCTACACCAACACCAGGGATTAGTCGTAGGGCAGAAACGAAACGAACAGCTCAGTGGTGACACTTTTGACTACAGTACTGGGTGACGTAAATTCAAATATCCGAATGGATATGAGTTACTTCAAGATAACACAGGAGCATTGCTGTCTAACACCAACAAGCATACAAACCTGGGTTCAGTGCTTCCTGGGATTGCCACCAACCATCTAAAGATATTCTTTACCTACGTTAGTGAATGAGAATTCATGTTCTTATAGGCTAATGGGTAGAAAATAATAATTTGTTTGATTCTTGTGTGACTTTTATTTAATTTTGATACTTTGTGGAGAAACAAATATCCGTTGGACAGAAAGTGAGTGAATGATTTACACATGTCAACGAACAGAAAAGTTTGGAAGACTCATACATTCAGTAATGCTCAGTAGTGGGGTTCTAGTGAGAAGTCGTGACCAATAGGATGCAGCAGGTCGGGTGTGAGGAAAAATACTCACCGCCGAAGACATCAGCTAGGGGTCACGCTATGTCGTGAATTGCCAGAAGTTAGAATTCATAGGCTAGCCATTGGATCGGCTCCCAGTGGCTCGATGGTCTACGAGCTCGCTAGCCTTGTAACCAGAAGGTCCTGGGTTCGAACCCTGACGGCGGGTATGTACTGCTGAAGAGTCCCAAACTAGGCTGGCGAAACAGCTGTCCAATACTCTCAGGTCGTTTTCCAGTGTTTCTCTAACTGATGTCAGCTCATGATGAAATCCTTCATGGAACCAGACAAAAATCCCTACAAAACGAAGACTTCAAATTACTTTTCTGTTCAACACCGAGGCATCACTTGTATACTCGTTAAAAAGAAAAGTAGAAGTAAGACGAACAAATAGGTAAAATCACTTACAGGGCTGAATAAGCACCTAGATATAAATGCAAAAGAATATTAAAATTTGGAGAAAAAAATATTCAAATTAACGAAAGTTTACATTGTAAGACTTTGTGCGAAATAAATGAAGATGAATGAGATTTTTTTGTAGTTGAAAAAAATCCCCTTTTATTCGCACAATTGTAAGTCGTATCCAGCTCACAACATGTATATTCTACAGATTTATATCACACAGACTGGTGGTCGATAAAACAGCATTTTCATTTGTGGAGTAGGATAAATTGTAACACAATTAATTCATCTGTCGGTATCATATCTGGGTTAGATTGAACTCATATATCTTCACCACAGTCGTATAAAGATTATGAAATTTGTGGGGATTTCAGATTAATTTTAATCGTTAGATTAGATCCTCACAAATTCCATAATGGATTTCCTGAAGGTGCATTAAGAACTTGTGACCCGGTGAGGCACACTGTGTTCACCTAATACATTAATGAAGGTAGCGCTGTATTTACAGTTGACGAACTTGGATTCATGCCCACATGAGTAATCAATCAACGCGCTTGGTTTCGTAACCTCGAGGTTCCCGGTTTAATCCAGGGTGGAGTCGTAGTTGCATTCGGTTGAAGAGTCCCCTAATTGGACAAAACAGCTACTGATTGCTGTCAGGTCTTCATTGATCACTCTGACTGATGTTGGTTGCTGAAGAAGACTTTTCATTGAAACAGTCATATTTATAGCGGACTACATCAGCTGAGAATATGCGATACTTTTTCTGATTTCTAGGCTTGGTTGAAACGCATTAATTTACCTGCGAAATCTTCTTCTTGTATCAATACTCTACAAATACTCTGAAAGATGTACTTTCACAACACGGAAGCAATTTCACAAGGGTTAATATTTATTTGAAAACTATTTTCCACCTTTAGTTTTGGTGAGAGCTGGCTGTTATCCAAAATTGGTGGACAGTGATTTACGTCAATTTTTACGTCCCCAATATTGGTCGTGAGAAAAATGAGAACAAAGGCTTTACGTAGGCGGATACAGTTAACATATACATGATCTGACATTTAAGAAACAGCCACAAAGAGATGCAAGGTTAACTTTCTGTGAGAAACAACCAATCAGAAGACTGTGTTTTTCTGTTAACAATAATCTATAATAATGTACATGAAAATCTATAAGTATCTGTTGATTGCCTAAATAAACGATCGGTTGCCTCGCCCTTGTCTTTTGTTGTTGTTGTCCTTTTGTTGTCCTTTACGTTCCCAGTGGAACATAAGCGGCTTAAAACTAGAGCTTTGAGATTTCAGTAGCTGTGATGTTTATTTTCAATGCGATGAGGTTGCTGCTCTCAGACCCCACCCCAAACCTTCTCTCTTTACAAGTCTTATTTACTAGCTTAGGGAGGTAATGGAGGAGTGCTCCGGTCGCCGGGGATCGAACCCCGGACCACATGAGGCGTGGTGGGCGAGCATTCTAGCGCTGTGCCACCAACACACACTGAATCATGCAGTCAGCAATATTAGATGACACAGCCAAATCTGAATTGAATAACGAATTATATGTGAAAAACTTGGGCACTGTGGTAGTAGGTCACTCCATATTAGTTTGTTTATTAGATAGACAACAGAGTCAGTGGTTGGGGTAGTAGAATTTCTCAGATATCTGGGTGGACAGGTGTTGAATCATTCCTATTACATGTATTCTTTTCAGTTGATATGATGAAGAAAGCTGCTGTTATCAATCTCTCCTTCCACCATGTTAGTTGTATTAGATTTTACAACAGTCATCTTATCCCATCCAGCCTATTGTATGATTGTGTGTAATTGCATGTAATGCTATGGCTGAACTATTCTCTAGATTTCTTACTTTATTCGGATCAACTAATCTAGATTTTAATGCCAGGCTTTATATGCTCGGCTAGTCTGACTGGCCACTGTTCTACTACATTTACTTATCTATTCGACCTGACGATCATTCCAGACAAACTAAATTGTTTCGTTTTAAAGGCTCCACTGGCAGGATCCTTTAACAGTCAAAGTTTGTTTCTAATTGAGTTTATGGGTGGGTTTGAATGCCAGCCACTTTTATTCCTGCCTTGGTAGGAATTCTGCGTAAGGTTTCCGAAGTTCCTTCCTTGTATGGAATTACTACTGATGATTTAGATTCCTTATTGTTGGTGTCGTCATTAATGTTATTATTATCATCACTATCGCTATTATCATTATTTATTTTATTTCTACATTTCCTTACATGTTTCCTGACTAATTTATCCGGGTGATTAACAAGTTTTAAAATCTAAGACAGTGATACACATAAAATAAGCCTTTAAACTTACCCGGATAAATTAGTCAGGAAGTGTGTAGGGAAATGTAAAAATAAAATAAATTATGATAGTAGCGATAGTGATAATAATAATAATACTAATAATAATATTAATGACGACACCAACAATAAGGAATCTAAAACATCAGTAGTAATTCCATACAAAGAAGGAAACTCGGAAACCTTACGGCGGAGAATTCTTAACAAGGCAGGAATAAAAGTGGCTGGCATTCACACCACCCACAAACTCAGTTAGAAACAAGCTTTGTCGGTTAAACGATGGATCTTGTGGAGCCTTTAAAATAAAAAAATTTAGTTTATCCATCATACCCTGTCTGCGATGATTGTCAGGTCAAATACATAGGTCAAAGTAGTAGAACGAGGGCAGTCAGACTAGCCGAACATAAAAACCTAGCAGCAAAATCTAGATTATTTGACCCGAATAAGATAAGAAATCTAGAGAATAGTTCAGCTATATCACTCACCAGATGCAATTACAAACAATCATAAAAGAGATTGGATGGGATTGAATGACAGTTTCAAAATCTAATCTAATATAACAGGGTGGATGGAGAGATTGATAACAGAAGCTTTGTCCATCCAGATATCTGGAAAATTCTACTACCCAACGACGACGACAAATAGGAGGAGAGAACAAAGAAAACTATAAAAGTCAAGTTTCGAAGTCGTGTGTGATTATAATTGATGAAATAATTATGAACAGCAATAAATTTTGTTCGAAACTTTGTCATCCAGTAAGTAATAATACTGTCTCCCTCTGTGTGTGGGATATATCTAATAAACAAACTAAGATGAATAACGAAACTTTTCCATCTTACTATCAGCTATCTAGCTATATAGATTAGTGAAAAGTACTCTTGTAAAATTATCATGCATATGATTGAAAATATTATGCAAGTTTGATTTAAACTTAAGGAAGGAAAACCAAAAGTCTTCCTATTGTATCAACCTATAAGGTGGTACAAGTTAATATTTTGTAATAGTGTTCAATGTACTTCACATATATGTTATAATTATTGGATGAAGTTAACAAATTTATTACTTCTTCTAATAAAAGGAAATGTGTACTTTTCGAAAAAAAATATAAATGTCAACACAGAATTATATACACAAACCTGATGAAAAGCTCTTTATGTGGTAATTTATCCCCAAGGAAGTGAAAACTGAACTAAAAAGATTTGTTAAAGTATTCACATGTGTTAATAATTTTGGTATGAATAGGGTTACATTTTTCTAAAATAAAATGTGATTAAATTTTATCAAAATTACTTCCCTGTTTATTGATTTATTTATTTATAGGTCAAATAACTGCTATACATAGTGAAATCATTGCATCGATAGCACAGCGTTAGAATGCTTGCCACCCACACATGTGGTTCGAGGTTCAATCCCCCAGGCCACCGATGCACTCCTTTATCTCACTAAGCTGGCAATAAGACTCATAAATAGGGAAGGTTGAGGGACATGTGACTAGCAACCCCACCGCATAAAAAAGAAATACCACTACTAGATGGTTAGAGGTAATCGGCCACAGGAAGCCTTGCCTGATCTAGGTTTCATCACTGATAGAATTCAGTCTGCGCCAAAAAAAGAGTGGACTAGACACATCACACTAGTTACTGGTGTCCAGTTAAAATATCCACTACAGTCGTACAAGAAGGAGGTCAATCGCGAGCCCGAATAGCTCAGCGGTGGTAACTTCTGTGACTGCAGGAAGCACTGAGTGACCTGGCGGTTTGAATCTCAGATAGGGACATGAGTGTTCCTTCAAGGTTGTAGATACCCCCTTGCTGACTAGTGAGCGCCAACTAACATGAAACTTAGGTCAGGAAAGGCTTCCTGTGGCCTATTACCTCCAACCATCTAATATCATCAAATCAATAGCGAGCTACCTAGAATGGTGGCCACATTACTACTTGACTGATAGAATTCAGTTTGCACCAAAGAGAGGACTAGACACATCACACTAGTTACTAGTTGAAGCCTCCTATTTTCCACTGGGAATGCAAAGGAATTTTTTTTAAATAAAACCGATGAAATCAATTTAACAACCTGGGAAGGGTCACAACACTTAAAACAAATGCAAACACCTATTTGTTTTAATTCAACTTTAATTTCGCGCTTCAATTAACTTTAATTTGTCAATACAACCCCAAACGCTGTATACAGAAAAAGTTTGCCCAGTTTCTCTTGTTCCACCTTGGTTTTAACGTCTTTCACTAGGCGTTCCCTGTAAAAACATTTTAATTTTTTTTTCTTTTTTCAGTTTTACTTTTAGTTTGCTTTTCCTTTAATAATTAATTCGCTATTATCACTCTTATATGTTCCTTTTGTACATTTTCACACCCTCTTCACTCTTGTTAAGTGGACACTCAACTACCACCTTTATTCTTAATCAAAAGCAATTTTAACCTTATCAAATTTCTAAATTTGTACCGTTGAGTACCACATAATTTATAACGTTTAATTTTTTTTTTACTTCTAAAGCCACTTCCGAGTAATTTTATCAACTATGTCACCCACCCACCCACCCCTGTTTTACTCAATAATAGACTACGATGTACACTTTTGGTAAGTATAAATACAATTGTGTACAGCCAGCCTGCGAAGATGATTTCGTCGATAAAGAAAACATTTTCTTCGCTGAATTTGTCTTTTCTTTCCTCTTAATTGTGATTGAAGTGTAATGTTCAGCCTCGTCTGACATGTAAACATCTGTTTTACAGATGTTTACCACAGCATTATGGATAAGATTTTATTTTGATAAATCACACAGTGGTGTTATACATTAATATTAACTGATGACCACCTCTCGAGCACAATTTATCATTATCACTCATAATCATATCAAGTTACTCAGTCACACCACTTTCTTGCTTCATTTATATACTTGTATGGAATTGACTAGATATTGGAATAAAAGTTAATATAGGATAATGTACATTCCAAATTATTAATATGAGTGTTATTGATCAGCTACAATCAGATGGGAAATAAGACGAGTGTTTTTATAGTCAAATAAATAAGTAACTTGTTAGAATGTTATAATGTATGTGAATTGAATTGAAATAGAATTTTGAGATTATTTATTATCCTCCTCTGATTTGACTGACTGACTGGTGGTAATAATATCTTCCATGCACATCTCTGGTATTTGCATTGAGTCACTTTCTGTCATGTGTTGGTTGGGTGTAGACTCGATGAACCAGGGATTCAGTAATCAACCTCTCTCTCTCCACCAACACAGATTACTTCTTAGAGTCTTAACCCTCTCCCACCCTATTGTGTGGTTGTGTGTTAATTGCATGTAGTGCAATTGCTGATGTCTTTTATAAATCATTCATCTTTTCAGGGTCAACCATTCTTGCCTTAGCTAAATTCTTATGTACCGACAAAACTGATTACACCCGATCTACTAGTTTGACCTATGTAGTTGACTTCACTCACAGTCATTGCAAGGTATTTTGTAAATTATATTATTTTGTTTAATTGGGTCAACCGACAGGGTCTTTTAGCCTACAGAGCTTGTCCTACTTAAGTGAGTTTGTAGGTTTGAATGCCACCACCCTAATTCCTGCTTTATTAAGAATTCTACGTAGAGAGAGTCTCAGATGTCCCCTCCTTGTATGGTATAACAGTAGATGACTTATATTCACTACTAGTTTCACAATTATTTTCATTTTACTTTTGTTCTTTTCTGATATTCCTAATAAATTTTATAGGATAGTTAGTTATTCAACACCAACGCATCTTCTATCTGTTTTATTTCATTATTTAGGTCTTTTCTTATACTACTTAGTACTATTGCCCGGTTCGTTAGACAGACACTTAACTAAGCCAGCCTTCACAGACAGATGACAGATGAGATGAATTAAAGTCTAAATATCTATTAGCAGAATGAGTTGACTTTTTATAAACGCTAGTGTACAGTTTACGTTCTTCTATTGGTTTTATTTTACAATCTAACATAGCCGATTTATTCTATAATCCTAAATTAGTTGGCTGCATGAAGTAAGTATGCATTGTAAGTAAGTATGATTAAGAACAAGATGGTCTTGCGCGAACAGTATATGGTATACGAGCTTGCTGGCCTTGTAACCGGAATGTTCTGGGTTCGAATCCCAGTGGGTGCGTACTGCCGATGATTCCCAAACTAGGCTAATGAAACAACAGCTGTCCAGTACTCCTGGTTTTCAATGGTTCTCTAACTGATCAACTCGTAAAAACACAATTAAACCTTACAAACCCAAATTATAGAAAATTAATCTGATGCTCGCTAGGGACTTGCTACAGGATGGAGTTTCCTGGAGTTCTAGTGATAAGTCGTAACCAGTGAGGTCCATCCAGATGTCACATGTGAGGATGGATGTGTCCACCGACGACATTGGTTGGGGTCGCGCTAAATCACGAATTGGTAGAAGTTAGAATTCATGCACTGGCCATTGAATCGTGTCCCAGTGGCTGAATGGTATACGAGCTTGCTGGCCTTGTAATTAGAAGGTTCTGGGTTCGAACTCTGTTTGTGGGTGCGTACTGCCAATGATTCCTAAACTAGGAAGGATGGAACAGTTGTCCAGTACTCCACTGCTGGCTTTCAGCGGTTCTTTAACTGATATCAATCGGTGATCAACTCGTGAAAACGAACAGTAGTTTCCGAAAACTACTTCCTCCCTAGGCTCTACAGTTATATATTTTATAGATTTATGGTTGTAGAGCCATTATTATTATTAAACATTATCAGGGCGAGGCGCATGCATATAGCACACAGCCTTCTTCAAACCTTGCACACAACCATTAGGTCGTGTACTATCCCATCGCCCTTGGCAGATCTGGCAACAAAAGTCCCGAGAACACCATCAGAGCATATGACAGGCTAGGTACCCCAAAGCGATATCCACTAGACCACTTGGGCCACACATTGTGTTCGTCGGTGGCACAGTGGTTAGGATGCTCGCCAGCCATGCATATGGTCCTGGATTCGATTCCCGGCCGACGCACTCCTTTACCTCTCTATGCCAGAAATAATGCTGGTAAAGAGGAAAGGTTGGTCATGAGGCTAGCAACCTCATCCTGTAAAAATAAACACTGCTACAGAAACTTCAAACCACAAGCTTGAAGCCCTATGTTCCACTGGGAACGTGAAGGAAAAATTTATTTTATTTTATGGTTGTAGAGCCAGAGAAAGAAGTTATCCAAAAACACATGTTCGCTCAAAAACATCTTTTTATGATTACACTATGGAGATTTATAATCAGTTGGCTCTAAATTAACATAAAACAACTTCTACACACTTCAAACTACTACTAATACTACTATTACATTTCCAATGCCTAAAGTCTCTAAAGAATCCGTATTCAATCTACTCTAATTATTCAAATGATTTTGTTGATCAAAATAAATAATAAACTGGCTGTTTTTCTCTCTTAATGTGGCCAGAGGATTGACAATAACATTCAGATTTAGATAAATATTGTTTTTTAATATTTTCATCTATGACCTCATTTACACTAGACAGTGAGGCCAAACAGCAATCAGAAGAGAAAGAAAGCCGTTTTCATCATAAATAGTGGTGAAAGAATTCACATACCGATATCTGTGAATCCATCCACGTATGCGATTCCGTGTTAGTGGGTGTGGGTGTGCGTGGGTGGGTGTGTATGTGTACAGGGGAATAAGGTGTACAGTGAAGAGATAGCGATCAAAGCTGTGCTCTATATGCACTTATCGGTGTATCATAATTAGTTGTAAGTTAACTAACTAATCGCCTACAAAGTTATGCGACTAAGTAATTATCGTGACCTAGTACACTTTGAAAACACTAAATTCAATTCATTAATTTAAATGAAGTGAAACATTAAGGTGGGCGATACACACACAGTTAAGAAAACTTTGTAGAAATTTATCTCAATTATCGTTATTAATGAAGTTTATAGAAACAATTTGTACATCTACAACAAAAGATTTTACTCTTAACCGCATGAATCTATTACGTAATTTGCAATGATGAAGTTAGCCGAATAGGCGGATAGCAGAATCTGTCTACTTGTGAAGTAACACACGACACAGACAAGTGAGCATGTTCTGACTACTACAAATTTCAATGGAAATCTCCAGATCGGGTGTGCAGTGAATTTCGTAAAATAGGAGAAAGAGGAGTGCTGTGCAGCATATTGAAATATATAGATTGGTGATTTGTGTGAGAAACCAGTGGGAACGAAGTGAACAATGGTGTGAGTTCCGTGCATGTTAGTACCTACAGATACGCTGAATATCTCAACTTTAGCTGACTCATGTTTGCTGGGAAACATGAACCAACATCTCTCAATAACAAATAAATGCACATCCTACACACAGCCTCCTACAGACTGGTTCATGATGTCAACATCGAAATTTAACTCCACAGCAGTTTAATTCCACTTGAAGTGTTCACTACACTAGACGATTTATCCAGAACACACAAGATCAAAACTGTCATCTAGGTAAGTCCCTTTCTCAAAAACATTAGGCAGGACTATTAAACCAAATGTACAGTGGGTCAGATTCACACTGAATCAACTTGAGAGATTAATCACTTCAGCATGGCATCAATCATAGAAAATGCAATCAATATCAAACAGATTGGAGGTTTTAATATATGTGTAAAACTTTGACACTGTGGTTGTAAGTGATTCCATAAAAACTTGTTTACTAGATGTGTCACACAGTCAGTGAAACAGGATTATTTACTGGATGACAAAATTTATTGCTGTTCATAATCATTTCATCAACTATAATCACACACGACTTCGAAACTTGACTTTTATAGTTTTCTTTGTTCTCTCCTCCTATTTGTCGTCGTTGGGGTAGTAGAATTTTCTAGGTATCTGTGTGGATAGGTGTTGAATCATTCCTATTACATGTATTTGCAGTTGATTCGATAAACATAGCTTCTGTTATCTCTCTTTCCACCGTGCGGCTGCATTAGATTTTACAACTTTCATCTTGTTCCCATCCAGCCTATTGTATGGTTGTGTGTAATTGCATGTGGTCCAGCTACAGCACACAATACATGCAATTACACACAACCATACAAAAGGCTGGATGGGATAAGATGAAAGTTGTAAAATCTAATATATAACAACATGGTTGAGGGAGAGATTGATAACAGAAGCTTTGTTCATCGAATGAACTAAAGAGAATACGAGTAATAGAAATGATTCAACACCTGTCCAGTCGGATATCTGGAAAATTCTACTACCCCAATGATGGCAAATAGGAGAAGACAAAGAAAACTATAAAACTCAAGTTTGAAAGTCGTGGAATGATTATGAACAATAATGAAATATGTTCGAAACTGTGTCACCCAGTAAATAATAATACTGTTTCACTGACTGTGTAATACATCTAATAAACAAACTAATATGAGATTGGAAGTTTGTATCAGGAATGCATTGAGAAATCTGAAATACTGCCTGAATAAGCTGTTTCTCTTGTAGTCATTCACGTACGCCTAAGCAGCACAAATATGC